GATAACATGCGTAGCACTGTTGTACCATGGTGCTTTAGTTTTCTCTCAAACTTTTTTTAATCTAACTGGTGCAACAATTTCTAATGTACTAGAGAAAATGGTGCTCAAACTGCTAGTCATTTCCTCTAGCTCATCTGTTTGTTTGGGTTCACTGAGCAGCTGAGATAGATCAGGTAAGCTATTTGAGAATCTATCTATAGTGGTTGGAAGGGTTGTTCTGCCTGGTCGATAACGTGGTGCTACATGACAAATTTCAGCAGTACGTACTACGTAGTATGCAAGTTACCATGTAATGATCAGTGACATCATCACTTTGAGGTATAATATCTATATCGGTTGGATTGGTTTCATATGATATAATTAAATCTAGTGTATGATTTAGACGATAAGTGGGACCACTGACGTTTTGCTTGACCCCAAAGTAGTTTAATAAATCTGTAAACGTAGTCCCTAACGCATCATTTGTGTTATCTACTTGTATGTTAAAATCTCCAACAATTATTGCTTTATCGACATTGACCAATAGATCTGAGAGAAAGTCTGCAAACTCTTTAAGGAAATCAGCGTAAGGTCCTGGAGGTCTATATACAGTAGCCAAGGCTAGAGATAATAGGGATTTCTTTCTTACATCTAAGAGCGTAACATTTAGCACAAGTAGGCTACTTCAAACGAATTAAACCTGTGACCTGTTTTCTGAGTAACATTTAGAATATCTCTAGATTGTTGCAACACCGCCGCCACGACCAATCAGACGGGATGTCAGGTTTGTTCAGGAGCCGGTGTTGCTCTGACGAGTCAGTTTGTGGCTTTTGCTAATTCACTGCTGTTTGTCTCTGTAGCGTCTCATGTTGCCCCGTGACTAGATGATGATCCTCTCTAATAGTTAGGTGGCCCATAGTTACTACTGATACTAATCATCCTGTGTTCAAATCCTACACAAATACATCTGAATTGTTCCTTTTGTGAATGGCAGTTCTCTGTCAGCGGGTGTGTAGCAGGAGTGGGATCTGATTTGGTTCTATTTAAGTCTTTTCACAACGGCAACAGACATTTTGTCAGGTTTTGTTGGATCAGTCTTTACATCTGTTGGCGTCCATTGTTGTTGGTCGGCGGTGGCTCTCGTTTGCCGGGTTGTGGAATGTCTGAGATGTGACTTACTGTAATTACTGTACCCCCTATTATGCTATTTTAAAGGTTCCTAATTATGTTTTGGAGGTCTCCTACAACAGGTTTACATGCATCAAAGGTCAAAAAACACTTTCATTTTCTCATAATATACATTACACATCCCAACGACTCATCCGAAGATTCAGTCAAATCGAGTCAATTTCCGATTGGTCAGATGGCCCATTCTGTAATGATTAGTCTCTACCACTTACAGAGCTTGGAAAAGAAACGCCCATTATCATAACTGAACTTCAGCTCCGGATGCTTCCTAAACCGATCATCGAGCATCGTTTTATCATATCAATCCGAGCGCGAGTCAGATGGTGAAACACTGGAAGAACTAGTTATTCAACGCGAACCTTCATCACAAGAACGGCTTGAGCAAGATGTTTCTCAGTGATACGCTACTCAGTTTTATCGTACATTATGAAATGTTGCAGCTGTAATTCCTCACCATCAGCATTAACAAATGTCCATCAACAAACCGATGTGTATATTTCTAATTTATTGCGGTGCACACGTGGAAACTGTATCATTGACTGTATCAATAACAGCGCATATGTTAGCCGAGCACTAACGTGAATGACTGATGTAATATTAAAGTTAGTAAAACAAGTCTTGCTCCATCCTTTATTATTACTCAAAGTAGTACTAAGAATGCATTAAATGTATGATCTGCATTAATGGACACAATTTTAGGTGGAATAGTGGGCCACAGCTAATTAGCATAACTTTTTCAGAACTATGTATTTTGAACATCCGGTCGAAAATCTATACATCATTAATTAAAGTGGGTACTGTCCCATCTTTAATCGATAAGCGTTTTGTAAATCCCGTTTAGACCTCGTGGAGATCTAAGAAGCTATCGTCGAAAGTTTATACTGCTGTTGCATCGCTATAATAATTCTAACCACTGAACCACTTTGGAAGTGTTTACAAAGAGAATTTGCTTTTGCAGAGCAGAAAACAGTGTTTGAGGGCTGGTTGAAAAGTAGATGTTCACCGGCAGCCAATGAAGACCATTGGCGGACTTTATGCAAATTTGTTACATCGTAACTAGGGATGGGCATTCGATTACATTTTCTTCGTCGATCGTCGGGAGAATTAACGATGGACTATCCATTAATATTTTTATATTAAAATTCATTATTTATTTAACTTTGTATAAATTAAAAATGCAATGAAAATACAAAAATACAGCGTGTTGTTCCTCGATGAGATCTTTATTACAGGAACTTGTGGCAGTTAAACTGGACGTTCGGTTAGGCTAAACTTGAAGATATATGCGCTGCGGTGCTCTAAAGCAGCTGAACCTGCAGCTGCGAGCCGGCGTTCTTAAACAGAGACCCTCGTTTGTTCCAAAGTAATAAATAATAAAAAAAAGAATCATGTTAAACAATAACTTAACCAAAAACATAATAATACTTAGATCTGACAGGTTTTGTCAAAATGTAACTCAAAACTATCCAAGGCATGGAGTCGAGAAAGAGGGTGAGAGAGAGATTAGCCTACCTAACAATTAATTTGGCTACTTAACAAAGCCTAATAAAATAATAACTATTAACTTTTACAACTTCTGCACCAGTCTAATGATTTTTGTTGAGAAAGATGTTGACATAATCTGGGGTCAGATGCGACCTGGTGCAGCCTCAATCCAGCCACCGAAAAACACCCGCTCTCTTCATGATTCTTCTTTTGAAATCAAAACGGAAACTGCAGGTAACTGAGTATGGCGTCAAATATTGCCCCCGGCAATGTTAAAAATGTTTAATTGCTGCCACACAGTGAAATTCATTTCATTGCTTCAAGACTCACACTACGCAACGCAACCCGCATTAGTTTAATCGATAACAAATTAACGTGATTGACGAAATTCTTAATGATCAATCGTCGATTAATCATGCCCATCCCTAATTGTAACGCGTGAATGTTGCGGAAGTGAGACTGGAATTACTGGAAATTCTGAATCAGTGTTTCTTTTGGAAGACAATAACTTTATTTATCGTGCACTTTGATCTTTATTACTTTGCAGACCTTTACTATTATAACACTGATTGAAAGTTAATATCTCAAAAAACACAATTTAAACCTACTTCAACTACTTAATGTTACCCTATAATATCACCTGCTAGTATGCAATAAACGCAGCTGTTCAGCACAAAAGTAAACACTGAAATATTTACAAGTAATCCAAGTGTGTGACTGTGAACTACCATAAGTTTATTTGCAACTTCTATCAGTCATGTGACCATGAGGGTCTGCCGTGTCAGTCCCACTCTGATTCACAAAGCTAGTGTTTCGAGTGTTAAAACAGAAAATGGATTTGGTGATAACTGAAATAAATAATGAATCAATTAAAATCAATTCAATTTAATAAAAAGGCTCTTAACGAGGGCGTAGGACTTCCCCTGCTAGTTTGAGCGCTGCTTTGTTGAAATACATTTTGATGAGCCTAACACAGGATCATGATGCAGTGAATTTAGCGTGAGCTTCCATCATTTTTATGACCAGGGTCTGTTTACATCACCTTTACAACTATTTGTTGCTCAAGTACTGGAGGAATGTTAAAAGTTCAGTAACGGATGGGTTTGCGTCTCCACTCTTCCCAGAAGAATCCACATGGCTCTTTCTCCATAAAAATGCTAATCCAGACGCACGTCTGTCCTGGAGCAGCAAAGTGGGGGAGATGAAGCAATTACTAAAGCATTAGCGCGATAGCAGACGTTCCTCTTGGGGTGAGGGCTCTAATGACCACAGAGGCGTCGCTTTATTAATATGCAGGAGTCCCTGCATCCTCTAGATAGCAAAGCCTTCTGCTCGGTAGCCTCTGATTGGTTTTATGAATGCCTCACGATTTCCCGCGGCGCCAATCTGGGCCTGTTCTATTCACAGAGGACTTAAATCACACAGTGGGAAACGCTGGGTGAATGTTGTAAAAAGTGTCACGATGATGTCAGGATCAAAGTTTAGCCAAAAATCAAGATAAAGCAATTGTACATACAGTAAACAAAACAAAAACTTGCGATTCTCAAATTTCATGCAATTTAAAAGGATAGTTGACCCAAAAAGGAAAATGGTCATTATTTAATTGTGACTTAAAAGAAGATATTTTGAGTAATGTTTTGGTCTTTGTTGTGATCTTTGGTCCATGTTGCGTTCATATTGCAGTCGAACAGCACTAGAGTCGTTTTGGAAGCAGACCAAGACCCACCTTTTTAAAGGGTTCGGACCAGTGTTCGGATGGCCAGTAAATGACGTCAGAAGAGGTATAGATTTTATAATGCTGAAATAAATATGGTTAGAAATACAATCATTGTATAAGGCAGAATTTGATTCATTCCCCAAAAAAATGGCACGAAAGATTTTTCTGCAAACTTTTATTCAATTTTCTGTACATGCATTACGTAAAGCAATGGGAAACAGATATCTTCCACCCCTTTAGTAAAAAAAAAAAAAAAAAAAAAGATACCCCTTTAAATCGCTTTGCACAATACATGTCATTAGCACTGTAGATTAGCTCAATATAGATAAGAACCCCAAAATGGTGAGCAAACAATTGCAGTTTATAAATGTCACATCGCGGCCTTTATGGGCAACGAGAGGCCGCACGAACACGCTTAACGTCTCCAAATGGGTCTGATTAATTGAAAATGTGCAGCAGCAGCCTAGGCTACGAGTCACGCTAACCGTACATGATGAAAAGCTACAGCTATTGATACCACGAGTTTAAACCACATGTAAACATTTGAACAGCGTGTAAAATGATCAGACAATAACAGATAATATTCATTACAGCATTTGCAAGCTTCAAGCCAGAGACCTATTCACAGCGGGAAGGTCGCAGACGTGACGGAGTTGCACCAAGTACCGCCAACCGCCAGGCAGGATCGGTTACCTAGTTTAAAACGAGGCCACAAGGTGAGATGCAGGCTACTGTCTTAACAGGCACTTTTTGGGAAATTTTTGACAAAGGTAATTGTAAAAGAAAAGGAATTTGGTGCCACACCACGTACATTCAGACGCATTTCCTCTTTTTGTTGTCTTGCATGAGCCTTAAAAGGACAGTCACAGTAGCCTATGTACACGCACATTTACATTAAATAAAGGGCAAGTTCTTCCGGTAGAAGAGGGAGGCCTCGAGTAACACGGCGTCGGGGGCTCGGTTCCACATCCGGAGGTCCAGGTTCTCAAAGCCTCCCCACGCGCGCATTGTCTTCCAGAGAGCGACAACAAGACGGACAGACACGTAAGACCAGAGCAGAACACATAAAAGGACAGAGGCGGCAGCGGCGGCGGGGTTTCTCAACCAATCCCAATGGAGACGCAGACTCCATTTCCAGCCGTCCTCGGGTCGCCGGGTTCTACCTGGTGAGTTGGCCGACCACTTTGAGCAAGGTCTTATTTTCCTGTTTGAGCTGCTCGTTCTCGTCTTCAATGTCATCCAGATCCTGAAAAAGTTTGAAATGTAGAGAGAGGATTACTTTATTTTCCATCACAAAATAAAGGAAGCACAAGACGTGATCCTGATAGGGTGTCACAAACAATATGGTAATTGTAGTCTAAGAACATATAAAACAGAAATATGTGATCCAATTTTGAAAGTTGAAGCCTTTACAATAGTCTGATAATGTTATACATTTATATTTTGGTTGATTTAATGACAAAACATAGCCTGGAGTTATGGTCTGGCAAAGCGTCATAGACAAATCATTTCCAGAGGGGCGTCACCAATGGACGTCGCGGATAGACCTAAAACCAATCAGAGCGATGAAGGAGATGACGTATGCAGAGCGGCGGAGAAACATCTCCAAGTGTTGTTCTTTGCTCGATTTTTAACAAAAGGGAAACGTTCAAATCGCTTAAAACAGACGCGATAGCTGATTGGAACGAGTGATGTTCGACGGCGGCATCCATCTTTGTAATGTAGGCTACAAAATCTGCTACAAAATCCCAGCGCTGTCGTCATCGTGTAAAGCCCGCCCCAACGTTTCTGATTGGTGCCTCGATTTCGGCGGATTGGAAATGAGCTTGAATGAGCTCTTTGCCAGACTAAATAGTGGCAGTTATTAAGTCCATGTACATGTGTGTAATGGAGGTGTAGTGTTTGTTGTTGTTTGTTTAGTTGTGTGGCAGTGCAGTAGTGTTTATTGTTGTACTGAAACGAATCGTACTGTGATGAAGGTGCGCGAAAAGGCTGGATGAAGCTGAGCTACAATTGCATTGTCCAGGGCTGTTTTAGGAGAGAACAATTGTCTTGGTGCCTTTTGTAAAGAGGAATTTGTCTTTTTCATTGGAGTCCGTTTAAGTGTGACCTTTTCACATCTGTTCCTGGAAGCTTTGTTTACGGTGTATTTATGTGCATTTATTTGTTCATATTTATTGATATTGAATCTTGTTAGCATACTACCTTCCAGTAAAGGGACAAGACAGACACATCAGGCAAACCTTTGAGCGGTCTAGCACCGACACAACAGACTGTATTTGTTGGCGCTGTTGAAGCTGTTTGTGTTGGAATGAAACGAGAGAACAGACTGCAATCTAAGACAAAGACAACAGCTCTGACAGAAACGGGTCAGAACCACCCACTGGGTTTGTTCCTTGCTGTAAGACTAAAAGTCGAGCGGCTTTCTAATGCTGAGCTGGCCCATGATGGAGAGGTAAGGATATTGAACTGGATGACTGGAATTGTTGAAAAGTGTGGGAATAGTCATAAGAATGAATCAGTAGCGTGGATAAAGTCAAAAATAAATGCTGTTGGTGCAGTGAATAAAGTAAAATGTGCAATCAAATCACATGTAGTAATGATGTTTAAAGGGGTCATATAATGGTACATGCACTTTTACAAGTTGATTGTACTGAAATGTGTGTTGGCAGTGCCTGTACACAAACATCATATAATGATAAAAATCCATCCAGTGGTTTTGTTTTAATCTCCTTATATGTTTTCCCCTGCCTCAAATCGAGCCGTTCGTTTTTGTGACGTCAATAAAACGGACGCCCCTCCCACGATTGTTGATTGACGGGAGCGTTTCAACACAGACCCGCCCTCGCTCATGAGGTAGCTGTCAATCATAGTCTGCGCGGCGCGGACCGGACCGGAGCGGTCGTTGTTGATATGCTGGAGCACTGTCTATGAGCAGAATGGCGTCTAAGCGATTGTGGTGTTCTGTTCTTGGGTGTAATAACGAACACAGCAGTCATTTTAATGTTCCTGAATCCGAACCGCTGAAGACGCAGTGGCTGAGTTTTGTTTTCGAAGGGAATATTCCCCACGAGCAACGTCAATGCTCTCATGTTTGCGCGAATCATTTCACACACCAGACTGCTTTATAAACGAGGGTCAGTATAAAGCTGGATTTGCTAAGAAGCTTTGCTAAAAAGGATCGGTACCAGATATTCGTGTTCCTGCTGAACCTCCAGAAGAACGGAAGTGAGTGAAACGTTTTATTAAACTTTATATTAATATATTAATCTTTGCAAATCGCCAGCTGCACGCTTCACAATGAATGCGTCTAAGGTTTACACTCAGTCAGGGTACATTACGGCATGTTTTCTATGTATGACGTTCTCAATATAATTCATAATTCCACGTTTATACTGAACAACGCGTTATGGTTATTGTGTTACAAACGGTGTATGCACAGAACAGAGAGGCGGAGTGAGCGCAGCTCATGATCATTTAAAGGCATATGCACTGAAACGGCGTGCTGAAAACAGAGCTGTTTTTGACCAGGTAAAATAAGTGTTTTCTTACAATACTAATGAGAATTTTTAATTAAAGTATATTACAAACTTTTAATTTAGACCCTAAAGAATCATATTAGCTTGTACAAAAATGGCATTATATGACCCCTTTAATGCACAGCTGTGATTGATAGAAAAATGAGTATGGCAGTTTGTTGATGTGTGTAATGAAAAAGATAGGCCTATGTAAGTATAAGAACAGAACCCTGTGTGTGAAAGTGAGAAACTCCCCCTGAAATAAGGGAGTGAAATATGAGGCAAAAACAAGGCGACACTTTATTGGAATCATCATGAATAAAGCAGGGCAGCGGCTAGGGCCGCATAGGAACGAGCTGATGAGTGGCGTCAGGTGTGAGAAGCATTGTTTGCAACGCATAGCCGTGTGCTATTGGTTGACGAGGTGCCTGGCAGGTGCGGGCCAAGGAGCAAAGTAAGGTGTAGCATTCCTGCAGCGGCAGCCATTGTCGTGTAAAGACCTGCGACTCTACCTGCGCGACTCCACCAAGGGACACACACTGGCCGCCTTCTTTCTACACAGGTATGACTAAGCTTGGGAAAACACACAATAAATTACTACCATAAACGCTTGTGGACAACATGCTTCCAGCTACACCAATTCCTTGTGCTCATTTAGAACACAACCAGGTGACCTTAGTCAGGATGGACAAACTTGCCTCAACACACATGCCTTCTAACACTGGGATTATCTGCTCCAGGTGTATTTCATTGTGGTTGGAGCTAACCCCAGCTAACTTGACCAATTCTTGCTTTATTACTACTCTACAGAGCATTCATTAATTACATTACTTCTCCATTACTCACTACATCACAATATCAGAACCGCACATACACTAAAACACTGTTATACTAACAGCCACCAGCTATATTTGCTTTGGGTAATGGTGCCACAATAACACATCACACTTCACTTTAAGTAACTAACTTCTTACCACTATACAATGTCACCTCACATCATCAAACACACCTTAACTACATTCCCAAAGACACCTGATGTCAACATGACACAACCAACTGATTTCTAGTTTGTTTTTTTCTCACCCACCTACACACACACACAATACAATTGTTATTCAAGGGCAGAAGCCAATGCTTTCACAGTTTCATGCCATCGGGCACAATCGCTGACACCGCACTGTGAGAAGCACAATGACTCAGAGATTATTACAATCTTTCAGCACTGGAAAAGGCACACCTTTGCTTACAAGCTTCTATAATGAAGTAGCATCACCGTTACAGCTATTGCACACACATTTCAAGTATAAAGATGACCTTTCGTAAACTTGCACATCAACCTTTAATGTGTTTGTGATGGAAAAACTCTTAATGACAGTCATGTTAAACTATCTGTGAAATTACATTATTAGACCTTCCTAACACTACATCTTGCTACTTGATTGGCGCTATGTGCTCGCCTAGCCTGCACCTGACGCTGGCCAGACACATGTTCAAAAAGTCTATCCAGTTTCAGCCTCACCGGTGATTTGGTACACACCCACTGTGATGAGCGCAAAAGAAAAAAAACATCAATATCTATCCCCACGGGACACCGTGACTCCATAATGTTCATCAAATTTCCAATCTGGCCCAATGCAGTGGCAGCCACTTCACACACACTGACACCATTTCTTACCCTAAAGCAAAAGATCATTCTAATCTTCCGCTAAGCCACAAAGCACCTTTACAATATAGACCTGATTGCTGCGAGATAGCAACGTGGTCGTTTGCTAATCGTGAAACGTCCAAAAGAAAACAAGCTTGACGCAATGCAAAACACCTGCAAACTCAACATAGGACACGTCCCAAGTCTGCCAGGCGCCCTAGTGTATACCGTGACAAGTTAGCAGATGAGTAATGTCCATTAGCAGAGTAAACAAGTGCAACACTGTGTGCTTGTGGTGCTTTTAATTACCACTCCTTAATGGGACACCCTGTGTGACAAATCTTCGGCATCAAACAAACCTCTGAAGGCACAAGGACGGCCGACACAGCCTCAGATGAGTGCTGGCCTACGTCGCTGTTTTATAAACAAATCAAAATGTGTATTACCACTTTGACTACTGCACTGTTTGGACCTTTTCAAAACTCTTTGCTGCTTTAAAAGACCCATGTTAAATGGTGAGCTTTCACTTTATTGCAATTTGTATACCTGCCAATACATAGTCAAAGACTATGAGGGAAAAAGACACCAAGGAAAAGTGCCTTTCTTTTGCTTACTGCAACAAATGCAACAAGGTGAAGCTTTGTTTGTTTGGTTGTGTGTGTGTGTGTGTGTGTGTGTGTGTGTGTGTGTGTGTGTGTGTGTGTGTGTGTGTGTGTGTGTGTGTGTGTGTGTGTGTGTGTGTGTGTGTGTGTGTGTGTGTGTGTGTGTGCGCGTGTGTGCGTGTGTTGGGGGGAATTGCACAAAATTGCCTATGACACCTGAGCAACAGTCATATCAAAAAAGCACTGAAAAATCCACGTACATCTCTACCTGGGGGATATTGCTGGCAGGGGTGGGCCAAAATGTAAAAGCTGCAGCCAGGAACAGAATGAAACAGAATAAAACTTCTTTTTAGCAGGAACAAAACATCAATCGCATGCATACCTCTACTATGCACCGTTATTTTAAAAACTACTCTTTAACTAATACCCATGTAAAGGTCATATAGCTCCAAATATTTCAATTGCCTATTTAAGGTTAAGCCCCAAGCAAAATGCTCTAGGAGCACATGTGCAATCAGCCTATAAATTGACATAACACTTTAAAGTGTAAATTGCAGGTTAAACACCACCACAAACAATTAATGTGTAAATTAAAGTGCTCAATATGTATATATTTAAAAATGTCTGTCTTAAAATAACATTTATTGGGGTTTCTTCAAAGGTAGCATGTTTTTACAGTAACTGGGTGATGACGTCATAAGAGGGAGCGCGGGCGGTAATGCACTCACTCTGTGTGAATTATAAGAAAGTCTAGATATTATGAAAAATTCATTGATAATAACAGAGATGCGTGAGATCGTGATGAACTGATGTCAGCTTTTTAGGAATTATTATGGGAGCGCACTTTGCGCGGAGTCATGCCAAACCATGCATGACTGTAAGTTAGCCTGCTTGTTTTTATGTTATAACGTTATAACAGTGTGGTTTGTGTGTTAATGCTTTAATAACAAATAATTTATCAGGAGAATTTATGCTGATGTGTATGGTGGCGACACGTAGGCTAACTTGAAAGTATTTGGAGGTACAGAAAAAAAAGTCTTTTTGCGGGTGGGCGCGGGACAAAACATAAATGTTGCGGGTGGGAGAACGTAACATAGAAAGTAGTTGAGAACGTCAGTTATAATAATGATGACCCACCAGGGATGGAAATTAACTTTTTTGTCCAACGGCCACTGTGGCTGGTGGATTTCAAAATCTACCAGCCACTCAATGTTTTTACCAGCCACTTTCTTGTTTTTAACCGACAATGTGTAACTGCATGTGAAAATTAATACTACAAGAATACTTAAGCAGTTTATTTAATCTCAAGTCTCAATGAAATACTGACATTTTCTCTTTCTCTCACCCTCGGCCTCATCCACCTAATCTGTCATTTATTTTTGTTTTGATGATAATTTGAGCCAGCCTCCAAAAGTAATTAACCTGTCCTGTGATTTTTTTTTTCTCTCACACAACACTCTCCAGACACGGATGTATGAGCTATAGTATGTTGGTTGCCTTTACATTAGTATAATATTTAATATAATCTAGATATGAAATGGAATAAATAGCATTCAATACAAAATGAATATGTCTCATATATTGAAATCAAGTTTTATGTGATAAAATATTTGCTTTGTTGTGCATTAGAGCCACATCAGGCATTTAGTACAAAATAATTTATTGAAGCATCCAGATACTTCACCACGTGACAGCAGCTAGGCTCCTGATTGGTTAACACGGCGCGAATTGACGCCAAAGTTCAGATTTTTCAACTCGGGCGGCAGACGCGAATTCGCGTCAAACGCGTGAATGCACAAAAGCACTTAATAAAATCATGCGCGCGGAACGCGTCAGACGCTCGAACTTGCCGCGCGAATGAGGCGTATTCGCATCTACCACGGCGCGCTCTACCTCATTCGCGCCGTAGGAATTTTTTACGCGCGCAACGCGTCTTTGCATTGACTTAACAATGAAATCACTCGCGCCAGACGCTCTATTCTCGTCTGGTGTGAACGCACCATGATGTTTTCTCTGCAGACCTCTACGCCTGCGATGTAACGCCACATTTTTGTTTGAAGGTGTGCCTCCTCTAAAAGTGTCCGCCGTCCGGGTGAAACAGTATGCTATTTTTATTTACCCGCCACGGTGGCCGGTAGGTGAAGCGAGTTTACCCGCCACAACACAAAATCACCCGCATTTGGCTGGTGGCGGGTGCTAATTTCCATCCCTGTGACCCACGTATTAAAAAATGGTCAGGTTAATGTGTCGGGCCGGGCTGGGCTCGGACACAACGTGCTCGGGTAGGGTCGGTATGCTAACACTTACAAGCACGAATCAGTCGTTTGTCCTTGGGGAACTTGTGGAGCCTCTCCCCCGTTTTTGATGTATTCGTACATCCCGCACAAACACAATAGTTTACCATTTTTGCTAGCTAGGTCTCCAATATAACTGCTAGCCTACTTGCCGTTTAGACTAACGGTAACTCTAGGCTTGGAGCATAGACCAGGCATAGACAGTAAAAGCTTGGAGTCCCTTTTATGATGTCACGCCCAGCCTAGTGGAAGGGAGGGGGCGTGCTTAAGCCCACTGTAAAACGTACCAACTTTTCATATTATATGCAGCATTTTGGTATAAAAAAACAATTGTGGGCGGTTCTTATCTTTATGTTTAGTAAGCACATTGCATTATCTTCGTGAAAAATTTAACCAGCAATTATAGCATTGCCGCTGCAAATGAAATGCCTATGTAGTTATCGGACAGAAAATGAAAATTACTAGGACAGATAGCGCCACCGCCTCTGGCCACCTGCGCATGTTATGAGGCCGCCATCGGCTTCTCACCCTGTTTAGCAGGTCGATCTCCTCCTTCAGCTTAATGATCTGCTCGTCCTTGTCTTGATAGGCTTTCAGCAGGCGACCGTTCTCCTGTCTCTCCAAGGACAGCTCCTGTGAACACACAATTCTGTCAGATCCAAAGCCTTGTGTGCATCTCCACAATGTCTCAACACGGCATGGTGACAGACTGCCCTGGACTTCTTTGGACAGTTTTTATTTTATTTTATTTTTACTTTAAATCAAGGTGTCTTGCATCCAAAACTTCTCATTTTCTTAAAATCATCCCAATTTTTCTCATTTAATCTGACTTATAATTAACACCATGTGTGACTGCTTTCTGAATACTTGATATTGTCAGCAGTGCATCATCTTTTCTTTTCGGTCTCTGAAAAGCCTGCGCCAAACGGTGTCTTGTTGAAAAGAATTCCAAGTAAAATAAAGCAAACACACAAATTGACACAATCTGACACTTCGTAATCAAAATCAAAGCAATGCACAATTTGCCACTGCACAATGTCTTGTAATCCTCAGGTATTTTGTTGCTGGAGCAATCATGTGTTTGCATCTCTGATATCTACTATTACATGACATGCGCAAATCTGTGGGCGGGGCTAAAGAGGCAATGATGTAGACGTAGGCGTCAATCTTCTTCTGCAGATGCGGCCTTTCGTCGCACTATGCAATGTGACAAAATCCACACACACAAAAAAAACAAGACATTCTATTTATGACTGTTTGATGCATGACAATAAAACACCACCTCTCGTGTAGGGCCTACGCATGTCTGGGTAACTACAGACATTCCTCTCACGATCGTGTTGTCTTAATGCATCTCCGTTTTAAAATCTAGTATTGGTTGCGTGAAAAATCTGAACCCAATTAAGTTGAAGGTTATTACAGAGCTGTCATCCTGAGAGATGTGAAACCAATGCAATATAAGGTGCTGCAAAAAAAAAAAAAAATCTCACTGGCTTTGGATATTGACCCCATACTGAAATGAAAATTTAATATCAGTATGTGACCATGAGTTCGTGTGGGTTCCAGGTTTTGAAAGTATGGTAACATTTGAGAGTGAGCTGCACAGAGTTCGGTCACGTGGCGTTTCATAAAAACGGTGCGGACGGATGTGTCTTCCTGCGTCGTGAGAACTTATGCGTCAGTGATTTAGGATCGACCCAAAGATAGCAGAAAGACGTCGTAAACCCACTGAAATGTTGACATTTTTTCCTCAGATAAAGAAAGGCAATGTTGATTGAGTAGCTACATGTGTAGTTCAAGGCAAACATTTTGCTTCAAGGATACAAAGAAAGTCTTTGAGAACAAGACTGTGAAAACCTGTAGGTGAGACATGCCGTTCTATCTACACAAACGTACCCTCTCTAGCTCCTCTATCCTTCTCTCCAGGGCTGTGGGCGTGACGCCGCTGCCTTCCCGTCCGTGTCGATGGCGATGTCTGTCTTCGTCGCTGGACACACAGAAACACAATTTTCAATGCAAAACCATCACTAATGCAAATGGTACTTGTTTGAACTCCAACATCTAAATGAATACATCTTTCTTTTGAACGTGCCAAGTACGGCACAAAACAAACAAAAAGGGGTCGTGCTTATTGACGCTGAAATAGCATTTTGGAACATTGTGCCCGATTCGTGACTCGCTGCCAATGGTACCGTACGCCTCTAATGGAGGCGCTTCTTAAAAGCTCAAATTAAATAAAAAAAAAAACAGGTGCGCACCTTTTCATTCAACGGTCTGGTTACAAAAGATGCCTTGCTAAAACATCTTTTCACAAATTTTTTCTCCTTTTTCTAACATAATGGCTTGGAAAGTGCATCATTTATTTCATAGGAGCGGAAATAAGAAAACTGAAGCAGTAAATTATCAGAGTATGAAAAGCCTTTTTATGGCACAGTAGAAGTCATTAGAGCAATGAGCTTTCATTAGTGAGGAGAACAGACCTGCTTCTTACAGGACTGAGCCTATAGGGACACCGCTCTGCAGCTAGTCAAAGAAAAGGGAGACAAATAAAAAAAAGAATCTTTTTTCATTTGTTTCCACTTCAGCATCTCTCTCTCTCTCTCTCTCTCTCTCTCTCTCTCTACCAAGACCAGACACTCAGGGAATATTTATGTGGAACTTATGTTAACCAGGTTCATTTCAATAATTACATATGTGGAAAACTTGGAGAGAATTCCTTTGTAATATTCAAATTATTGGGCCATAAGAGTGTTCTGAATGAAGACTGCCTGTCCATTCCACAAAAGCGGGAGGAAAAGAAACTGGCAAGTGTAGGAAACTCGGTTGTATCTTTAGCTGGATTCTTTATTGAGACAGTGATGCATTGTAGTTTATATACATTTTAGGAGGCAGTGCTCAGAAATGGAGACAAACAGCTTGGTGACCACCTTAATTAAGTATCCAGGTATAGGAACCCCAGACTCTAGAGTGTCACCGGTCCTAATCCAATGACCAGAACTATTCAAAGAATGGGACAGGGGCTCCAAGAGCCAATAAAGACAAATGGTGAGAGAAATCTGGCTCATTTCACTTACAATATAGAGAACAGGAACTGGCAGAAAACTCTTATATCATCTTAACCTTAAATGATAAATACAATGTACTTCACCTTAGTTTTCATGTGTTATGGCAGGACATAGGATCAGCAGATCTTACCCCAAATCCCAAATTACAATTACAAATTGCGCTTTTTACAATTCACTTTGTTTTCGTGCAGCTTTGCAGCTTGGATTACTATATTGTGATATTTATCAATTTTTGTGGAAAAAAATACTTATTTTGTGGTACAAGTCCATAATTAGTTTCTCTAGTCCTTGAGTTGTAAAATGACATGTGGAATAAAATAGTCAAGAGAAGCGCATTATGGCTAATTAACGCTTTGACTGTGTTTAATGTAACACATTAACCCCATCCTGATCCAATCAAATCCACATGAATAAAACCGTGTCCGTCCAACATCGTTTGGAAAGACAAAGCAGGAGCTAGATGAGTTGCGAATGCAGTTGTTTTGAAGCAAGCTTTCAGATCTGCGGCCAATCCCAAGTTAATAAAGGACAGAGCCCTGCTCAAGAGAACCTGTCATTTTACATTTCAAACACTTACATTTCACAGCTACGAGAAAACAGAATTCAAAAATGTCTTCGAAATTGCTGTGAAATCAGCTGTGAAAGTGACAAATGCAACACTGGCCCTACAGAAATATCCTGCTCTGATTGGAACTAGCTTCAATCGCCTCACCTCCGTCTTCTAAAGCCTCACTTCAACCTCAAACTCGCAGACCGGCTGAAGGGGGCTCTGGCCCCCGTAATATTAGCATTCACTGAGGTCTGGTTGGGCCGTCGTCGTTCAGGCACTGAAAGACCATTTGCCGGCTCAAATATTCGCCACAGTTATTTTCTTTTGACGGACGGCCGTTCTAATCCTCCTGCTAATGAGGAGGTACGGTCAAGTGCTTCATACTGTATAATGAGGACATTCAGGTCAAACGTACAGAATGAAGCCGATGCTTATGAACCAAAACTATTTAGTTAATGCAAGCATCATCACTATTAATATTATTATTATTATTGCTCATCTTAGGGTTACAGATTTGAACAAACCCCTAAGAGTAATTCCTCCAGCAATTTTTGTGTGTATTTTGTGTTACTTTTAGGTGATCAAACTCTGCTTACAAATGATAATAATGGACCTGCGCCATGTCTAGTGACCAGAATATCATGTTTTCAGGTAGGCTCTTTTCATTTGATTTCTTCTTCATGACAAAGAAACCACCTTACAACCACCTAGAACACCCCAGCAACCACAAAGTAATTTCCTGGCCACAAGTTAGCATAGTGGCGACAAGTTATTTTCTTCTGAAAATGTAAAAATGTTCTTTCAAAACTGCAATTGGCAGTGACATCTTACAAAGATGACACAGCTGTTATTTAACACTGAAGTAAAATAAGTAAAAAGTAAATTAATAATAAAGGAAACCCTAAACAAAAAGGTCCAGTAATGTGTCCAGGTAAGGTGTGTGATGTGTTTTGCCGTGCCTCTATCAGTGTAGTGTAGACTGAATCTGATAGACTCGGAGAACAGAGCAGATGTCCAATCTGAATGTTCATGTCCTGGGAATGTAACAGCCACTCTGTTGCATTAGTCCCCCGTGGAGAGGCGGATGCAGAGGTAATGATCTGCTCCTGGAAAACCAGCAGGGGTAGGGGTGTGTGGGTGTGTGTGTGTGTATGAGAGAGAGGGCAGGGGGTACAGAAGTTAACACTAAATATGTTGGCCATACTAGCTGGCAACAGTTTTAATTAATTCTGAAAACATTTCTATAGAACTGTGTCCATTCCTCAAGAATAAACTAACCATAGTAAGACGTATTTGCCTCGTCTCTGAAACATTAAATATGGCAGTGGGACTGTAATTTAATGTGATGGTTAGCCTTCTCCTCTTATTCTGATTCACTGTGTGTGTGTATGTAGCGGTCTCAGCTGCTTGTTCTGCCGCCCACCTGTCGTGCCGGCTGCGGCAGAGCCCTGGGTGTTCGAGTGCGAGTGTCGGGGCAGAAAGATGGGCGACTAATCAAACGGCCAGACTGAGCCTCAGATGGGCTTTTGTCTGCATCACCCTGGAACCAGTGTGCAAAATGTCTGCAAAAGTCCAAGCCATTGTAAACTGGGAGGTCTGATTCATTTAGTGAATCAGTTAGGTCATTTAAATGAACTAGCTCAACTAATTGGATGGCTTTTTTTTGTCAACATTTTTGAACATTTTCTGTGAAGGTTGCTGAGGTGTTCTGACCGGTCATTAGCATGCTGCTACGCCATTGCTACTATACCTGGGTGGTTGTTTTTCAGTTGCTACCAGTCCAAGTTATGAGAGCCCATCCAAGTCTCTATGATATTCTGCTTTTTAGATGATAGTGAGGATACAATTATGGTTAAATTCCATTTAATGGAATTACTTCTAAACGTTTCCCTTACAGTTGAGTGAATTTCTAACCTTTTTATGTAATGCTTCAAAACATTATTTTAAAGGAATCGGTTTAAAGAACAATTTGCTTGTGAATTTAACCTCAATTGCTGTAAACTGTATCAAAAATTTAATGTGACACTTGGAAATGTTTAAGAAAAATAACCATTGTTGGGCGCCAAGTGTTTACGTGAGAGGTGGCACAGTGGATATTTCTTTGTCAAACTTGATCAGTGTTTGGTTAGGGTTGAATCATAGGGGAAAACTTAGGGTCTACAAGTTTTAACTTCCTGGAACCTGCTTGATACAAACAGTCCACTTGTATCATTCAAGTGGAAACAAATTCAGTCCTGACGTTGCTGCCGACTGAGAGAACGAAAGCTCCTGGCAGTCTCACAATGGCTCTGAAAATGAGTCCAGTTAAGCCATGCTGGCTTTAAAGCCCTTTCTTCTGACAAGACACATTTTTCTCAGCAGTTTCACTAAAGGCACATTTTTAAGCCAGGATAATTTTTGTACATCTGACAGAAGCCACCAGATGAGCGAATGGTACAGAGCTGCGGTCAACGGCTAAAACTGTTTAATCCCTTCGATCTGCCTGAAACAACGTATTTCACCCGCTGACAGATATTGGATGCAGTGAGACTCACCTCTTATGACTTCTGGATCTCGGAGTGTCCTGAAAAAAAAAGAGGCAAAAGAATGAGAAAAACTCTGTGGCTTTAATGGACAAAGAGACAGATAGACCTAAATACAGATACATACACAAACTCACACACAAAACCCTACAAATCGCTTCTTTTGGCCTTTGAACAATATGACTCTATTCATACGCCCCATTCTGAGGTACAAAAGCTAAACCAGACAAAATTAATAAAAAAAACCCAATAAATCCAGGTACCAACTCACTCAGCGTCAGCGCTGAACCTTACGGTTGTTTTCTCCAAAGAAGCGCATCAAAACAAGTTCCATCACTGTGACGGCCTACAGGTTATCATTCTCAAAACTCTCACTAAAGGCTGATATCTACCTCATACCTAACACTTACAGACCAGTGTGTTCCAGGAACATATAATTCTGTTTATCATAATGTTTTAACAGTTATTTTTTATGTCCACCACAATGTGTTTATGTTGTTTTACAACATAAAAATAATAATTCCCAACAGTGTTCACAGTATCGACCCAATATCATTCTTTCTCAAATATCTCATTCATTATTATTTTTATTATCTGTGTTTGAGTGCATGTTAAATTTTGTATCCACAATGTTTTGCTGCAATTACATTTTACTTCTCATTCCTCTTATCGCCTCACAGCCTCTCAAAATTTGGTTTGGCTGAAGCAATATGTCAGCAATCTAAATCCACACCACCACAATATTACTATCTCTGTAAACCCACAAAGCAAAAATAGGGGGAAATATTAATTTTTAATGAAAAAAATAAATACTTCAGAATCAAGTCTTTTTGAATGTTTTTTGCTTTTAAATGTAGGTGGTGGTTGGCCTGTCCTTGTTGAGAAATTAAATATTCAAGCAAAACCTGCGCTTTTGAACTTATTTTTGCACTTATTTTTCAGGCCCCCTTCTTCCAATCACCTGATATATAAACACCGCTTTTCATGAGCTTATCGTCAAAATCAAGTTCCACCCTACACAGTTAATATATTTCAAATTATTTAATATAACTAGAGCATTTTATAGACATTTTGGTCATCAGAGCCCAAAGAAACAGAACAGAAAGTGTGCAAGCATGAAAAACAGAGAGTGTGTGGGAAACCGAGATGGAGAAAGCAAATATATTCATTGTATTCAGCCCAGTTTCTCTTCTGCTAAATTGCATATTGCTTAAAAAGGAATTCATAGCTGTTTGCGATCTGACGGGCTTTGTGATTTTGACACCCAATTTAAAAGGTAAGATCTCAGAAGTCCAGTCTAAAAAAGTCCAGCACAGGCCTGCTCTGGCATTCTGGAGCTGTGCTCACGTGCCCTAAATCTTTCCTGCTTTATGCGATAAACATTTAAATCCTGCCAGAGAAAAGCAGCAATGCCTGTCGTCCATACACTATTCATATTTACCCATATAGGCTTCGTAAGATTAAATACGAACGCTGAAAGCCTCAAGCTTGCCATGCAAAAAACCAAAGGGTGAGAATTTCAGCAGTTGGGCAGCAATTTAAAGGAAACTGCACACTATGTACATTCTGCTTTTCTCCATAATGTTTTTAGCAGGCGCTTTTGTCAGGTGAAAATTACACTGCCGCTATCTCATCTCTCTCTTAATGTTGGGGTCAGCTGAGTGACGCATGGGAAATCCCTCCCAGCATATCCAACTTCTTCACACTAGAAGTGCTAATTAAAAATGTAAATCAGCACAAACACTTTAAAACTCAGAATTAACCCCATATTGTCATGGAAGAGCTGTATTAAACCCTAACGAGTTGTATATTTAGAGGTCTTTTCATATGTTCTAATGTCCTTTATATTGTCAAGCAAGGACTTTGTCTCTAAACCCTAATGAGTTTCAAACCCATTTGATTTGATTGTTCAAATGCACCTATGATACTCTCTTACAATTACAGGCAGGTCGAACGTTTCAATCCACCATCCAAATGTGCCTATGTTGCCCAAAATTTTACATGATTGTGCCTATGAAGCATTTTTGGTCATTTAGAGATTATGCACATACAAAATTGTTCGGCATAATTGGCATGTTTGAATATTTGAGTGTAGCATTGATGCATAGGCAGCATTTTTGGGGCATTGCTAAATGTGGCTGTGATACCTAGATAGTGTTTTGAACATCACACTCATGTACTGCACACTATGATGCCTAAAAATGCTGTCTAGGTAGGTAGCTCACTAGGTCTTCTTGAGACAAATCTGAATCATTCTGAACCTTTTTGGCTATTGATAGGTAGGGAACATTGATAGGTTTTGAGGCCTAGTTTCAAAATATCATACAGCACAGTTGAATTTTCCAACAATGCATTAGAGCCCCTGGCACCACACTGGTGCGAGATGATCCTGTGGAATGTACCGTACGGTTCTGCGAGTTCTAGCGGTGCTCCGGTATCAGAGTATGTTTTCCTTGTATGGCAGAAGAGAAAAAAGGTAAAGCGTGCCTAAGCAGAAGCAGATGGAGGCCTTGAGTTGATCAGGACTTCATTAGAGAGAGAAAAGGCAAAATAACACACATGCACGCACACACACACACACACACACACGCGCACGCACACCAGAAGGTGTGCTTGTCCCAGCATAAAAATATCTAGGAATTATACTCATAAAGCTACAATCTTTTAATCTACTGCATCCCTAAATTACCAGCGGCCTTGAACAGAGTGTGCAGAGAATATTCAGAGACACATCATGTGCATCCAACCCTGTAATGGGTGAACCTGACAGCTGTAAGGCATCGTTCTAATGTTGTAGAAAGCTCGTAGATTATGACCATGTCTAGTGGGAGGTCAGAGAGAAGCGAAATATGACGTGGAATTCCACAAAAGCCATTCCAAGCAACTGATAAACGCAGCAGGAAAAAAGCAGCACATTTCTGAGACGCACTACGCTCGCATCTCTGAGGGGATACGTAAATCTGCCATCTGCTCTAGCTGTGATGCCTATAAAAAAAACAGGGACATAATGTTACCTTTGTCATTTCTCATAATATGAGGGATTTTCTGGATGCTGCTGTAATCATGCAATACCACACAAGCAATTGTGCTTCGTCTGTAGGCACAGGGTCTCAGAGAGTACCCACATTCACTACAACAACACAACTGACCTTATGGGAGTGATTACTTAAACATGCCCACTGCTTTTCAAGGGCGGACCACTCCTTTGACCGTCAAACAAAATGACATCGCGACATTCGCGAGTCGGCTCACTCGCTCGCTGATGTACCTGATGATTTTAGAAAAAGCTTAAATGCAGTAACTTCAAATGCAGCGTATCATCATGCAAAAAAAAACTAAAAGCAACGATATATGAAACGATACATATAATAGTAGAAGACAAGAAAATAATGAAATTACAAGCGGAAACTTATACAAATGTCAAGAAGTTATACAGTTGGCAAAAACTGATTTTAACAGAAAGGGAAAATATGTAACCTACACTACACTGCAGATGCAAATAGGGTTAATAATAATAATAATGGGTTTTTTGTGTGTTTTTATCAAAATAAAGTTCACTTTGGCCACATGTATGTAGCCTTGTATTTAATGGAGAAAACAAATCATGGTAAAATGAACAATAGTAAATGTCAAAGACGAGCACTATTTAAATAAATTATTGTTTTGCTTTTGGATGATCATTCATAATTTGCAAGTGGAGATCACTGGCTGGTATGGGGAAAAGAACAAACAAAACTCCATTCACCAGCCTCTCTGGACGCCTAGTATCTGACTGACTTGTTCTGTAACAACACCTTTGTACCCTTATTATAATGGTAATAATAATAGTGGTAAAAATATTAGGTATTTGGGATGTCAGTCATTTATCTGTCGTAAGGTCAATTATGGGTGGCTGGCAGGTCAGAGCTATTTGCAAGTACACTGCAAAATCTATACAAAATCTCTTTTATTTAGTATGTCACTCTTGGCCAATCAAATTAGAGGACGAGAACTGACTATTGTATAATATCCTACATACAAAGTGAACCGTGTCCGATACAACAGAGGCCAACATCTGGAGAACTGTGGCTTGGCGTACACTGCTGAACATGACCAGGATCACCAGAAACACGCGTAACTACTCGCATTCTCACAGCTACGGCAGTAGTTTCTTTATTTAAACATAATTATGAATCTAACTGAAGCACATTTCAATGGCTTTTCAGAGAAGCACTTTTCACAATGCCTTCAGTCGCAAACAATTGCTCACTAAAAGTCCTTTCATATTTTGCAATAATAGGTTTGAAATTCTAACTGAATATACAGTAGCGATCCTTTCCAGTGAAAAGTAAAGCAAGATGACATGCACCCAGACACACAATGCCAATGTGATTACAGTTTCAGAAATCTCGAGCTAATAGTTTCATTTATTAGCATTCAGCAACCTGAAGCTACATGGAATCAACCACCCAACAGGAGGAAAATAGACATAACACAACAATGCATCATTTAGAAAACTATGTAATCAATTTCCCAGAGCTCCACTGATGGCAGACTGACAGACTGACATCCCCATCCTTTAGTGAGCCACTAAAATGACAAATGCAGGCAGAATTTTCAGTGAATAATGGCTTGAAGTTTGGTCTTTTCCTCACTCAAAACCATCATTACACTTCATAAGATTTGGAATAAAATGCACCAGTTCTATAGGCTACTTTTATGATGCTTTTTTTCACCCCTTGTGAAAAAAGCAGCATGAACATTCTTTTAAACATCTCATTTTGTGTTTGGCCACACAGGTTTATAACAATGAGGGCGATTAAATGACTGAAAAATACATTATCCACAAAAAGCTGATGTACATTAGTAATTAATGTATTTTATAAATGCATTTTTTCCAAAATCAAAATTCAAGAGAAAAAATATTAAATATTACTAAAGGTTTTAATTTCTTATATATAGCCTACACACACTAATGTTGAAAAGTTTTGGATCGAACAGTATAATGAATATAATGTAATGAATAATTATTTTCAAATAATTCTATGTTAATATATTTGTAAGTGTAATTTATTCATGTGATGTCAAAGCTGAATTTTCAGCATCATTACTCCAGTCTTCAGTGTCACATGATCCTTCAGAAATCATTCTAATATGCTGATTTTGAGCTCAAGAAACATTTATTATTTTTTCAATTCTTTGAGTATAAAAAAGAACAGCATTTACTTAAAATACTTTTTTAAATAAATGCCTACTGTCACTTTTGATCAATGTAATGCATTCTTGCAGAATGAATCATTTTTAAAAATCTTACTGAAAAGTAGAGTATATAATATAATAATTAATGTGTTTTATTTTTAAAGTTTGTCAAAACAAATTCAAGGGAAAAAAAATATATTGAGCTTTTTTTGTGAGAGGTATTTTATTACCTCTCACATGTTGTGTGTTGTGTTTTATTTCTCTTTTCTTTGGAAATTTTATTTTGTTAGCCACTTTTTGTGGCCTTCGCTCACCCCTGAAGTTCGGTTTTAAAACTCTAAAATAAAAAATATGATGCCGTTGTGATCCTGTTCGTCACGTTTCCTCTCTAGACAGGTCGTAACACAAAGTAAATAGAAGACAAACCACTGTCATATTTAGTGTCAAGAGATATTATCTCTTCCATGAGCGTGAGCTGTTCTGCTTTCTGTTTGTCACTTGATTGTGTTTGTTTCTTTGGTCAACACTGCCTCTGTAAGGCAGAACGGTGACGGCACTCCAAACACCCTCTAGAGGCAGGACTATCCTCTGACATTCCTAAAACACTCACACACTCTCACCTGTATTGACTGGGCCTCTCCGGGGTCAGAGATCAGCGCCTCGTTCTGGACCGTGTTGTGCTGTGTAAGACTTCCGTCCGTCTTCCCCTCCTTCTCTTCTCCGTCATCATCATCAAGCTCATCCAAGCTCTGCAGAAAAAATTCAGGCTCAGTCAGTTTAGTTTGTTCAGATTGTTTGGGATTTGTGGATAATTTTCACATGACGAGAGAGTCTAATTGTGTTCAACACACACACACACGCACACATACACAAACAGACACAGGAAGTATGCTACCGAACAGCCTTTGTGGTATGAGTCTAGGGGATTTTTGGAAAGTGGAATGTCCCATTGCACACTGAGAACAGAAAACTTTGGAAAGACTTTAAAACATGTCAATAAACATGGTACTTTCGAGAATACTAACAATCTGAGCTATTTATGAATGATAACGCCCACCGCCATATGTGACAAAAGTGGCAGAGAGAAACCGGTTTTCTGGCTGCATGTAAAAACCAGTCTTTCCAGTTCACAAAGGAGGAGGAAGAGTGAAGGTGGAGCCCAGCACAGGACTAAGAGGGTAAAAATAGCCTTACAAAACTAAACTGGAATGTAATAATTTACACAAGCTTTCCGGCCAGACGGTTTTATCAACACTTCCTGGGGATGGGCCAAACTCTGAAATCTCTCATAGGCATTAGCATACACTAATGAATACACAAACTATGACTTAGAGACACACACACACACTTTCCCACTCCCCAGGGATCAGTAAACACACTTCATCAGCCCCCGCTGCACCCTTAAAGAGGTCACTTCTGCACTCCGCTGCCCGTTAGCCAAAATCAGGCATTCCCCTGCCTAATGACAATCACTTATGTCAATTAAGACAGCTTACAAACTTGAGGGCAAATTAGTGTCACAACAGTAAAATGACTATAAAGAAATTTCAAAGGAAGCGATTATTGTACAAATACTGTCTGTAACTATACAAACACTCACACTTAATTACCTTTTGGAAACAGTAAAAAAAAAGAAAATAGACCTATAAACACTGTAGAGATGATCTATTTAGGGTCTAGCTTGAAACTGCCAGTTTATAGTTTTATTATCACTCAGGAAGAAAACTCTGGAAAACTCTTTTGGAAAAAGATTATTATTAACAATGTGCCTGGCCATTGAAAAACGGCCATTTACATATTCTTAAAGGTATAGCAGCAAAACAAATATATTATTTGAATAGAAATAAAATATAAATAAAACACAAAAATGTATATGAAATTTAAAAACTGTATAAATGATTTAGAATTATATAAATATAAAAGTTTGTAATAATAATTATGAAGAACATTGCATTAGGTTGAACAGGGACACTGAGGGTCTGTGGCTCCATAGAAGAGGCTCTGGAGATCAAGTGGTGGAAAAACAGAGAAAACAAATGCTGCAAATTCCTTGCCCTTCCTGTTTATAAAGCAAACGAGAAACTCATTTCGCTTGACATAAACGTACATGTATTTACTCGAGTAAACAGGTTAGATCATTAAACCTTTAACCTCTTTGTGTGTTTGCCGTGAGGGAGAGGGGCTTCATTTAAAACACTCCATCTGTGCTCATCCTCTGCTTTATTAGGAATGCATGTGTGGATGGAAATTTGGTCTCTCGCTTGCTGAAGAAAAAAAAAAAAAGATCCACAATCTATCATGTTAATACCCTTTCCTGGCAGAGGGAATGCACAACATGTCTGCCTCAGAACTGTAGCCTATCCCACCGGCTTAACTTTCAGACTACAACTCCACTAGCAGGAGCCCTATAATTAATCTGACAGCCAAAGCTGATCTACATGAAACTTTATGTATATGGTATATTCCCTCAAATATATCATAGGATCATTTACATTCCAAATGTATCAACAATATGCACAATTATAAGAGACTGTATAAAGACTTTATAAAATGGTTTCTACATAATATAAAACAAATAATAATATGATTTTCAAGTTGAGATCATCTACTGTACATGCTAGTGAACTTGGAAAATATGCACATTTAAAATGTACAATATTTCTCGTTTGGGAAAACAATCTAAAATTAATAATGTCTATATGTATTTTGTATAAATGTATAAATGTATTTTAACGATAAATGTATTTTAGCTCCACTGGAACACTGTATTGACCGATCAACACCGAGAACCTTTTTGTGCATGATGATTACATTTTGGAACTCTCTTTAAAATATTCAACAAGAAAAGTGAGAAAACCTTCTAAAGCTCTGTGTGTGTGTTTGTGTGTTTTGCCTGGTGTTGTATTCAGGCCAGTTATGCAGTAGATTAATGGAGAGTCGAGCTGAGGGGCTCTGGATGCTCGTCCCTCCTGATGTCCTCGGCAGACTGGATTTAATGACTGTGGATTAATCAAGTATTGCATGCCCTGGCTACACAGGTTCATTAGGATGATGTATTACACCCATGGAAGGTGAAAAGTGTGTGTTTGAGTGTGTGCGCGACAGTCAACTGTCCTTTAATCATCACAAATCCACAGTCTCGTGGAGTGACTTAATGACTTAACCCAAAATCCCAAGATTATTCCGGGCACAGCTAAAAGCCATTTAATTTCATAAGCGCACACATTAGAATCAAATTTGGAGGGCTGTGGAGACATATTTGGTTTAAGTGTCAAATACAATAATGAGTATCAATATTTCCTTCCACATTAGTACAACACAAACCGATATGGGAAGTGATAATGGTGATTCCTTGATGGCTACTCGGTTTCAACCTGAGGCACCTCATAAGTACAATCATAAGATTTGGAATCTTCTACAAAGTAATTTCTTTCCAAAAACAACAACAACAACAACAACAACGTATCGACTGCAAACCTTTGGACGGCAGCATATATAGTATCAGGAGCATGCTTACAATGCCAAATGCTGCCTACTGAGGCCGAAAGATCCACCTGCAAATGTTGCGCAAGTATTTGAAAGAGATTTGTGATGGCAACCTTGCCTATCTCTCTCCTGCACCGGACAAGAGATTAACCTCACCTGGTGAACACATTTTAACGGCTTAGTCGAGAGCTCAAAATTGTGCACGCACGCACAACTGCCTGGGAGAATAGGAGGACACGTTCTCTGGTTATTAAATTTAATCATAAATCATTTTCTGACGGCCCAGCGGCCATGGTCAGCACAGCTCACCATATTTTTACATATTATATACACAAAAGCGTGTGAGTGTCTTTGCAGGTTGTCTGTTCCCCAAAGAAATAGTTATTTTCATTTCATTTTAACACCGAGATTGTAGGGAAAGAGGTGTGGAACATTTAGATTGGGGACTTTTGCTACACTTTGATTTGGAGGCACAAGGCGAAACTTTAACAGATATCAATTCAGGCGGCTTACGAAGGTAGAAAAAATCTGCCTCCGCAGGGATCGTACGGAGGTAGGAAGGCAATAATGCACGTCCAAATCCAATGATCGTGTTACATCCTGTCTACTGAGATACCTTCATCTGATCGTTTTTTGAAGGCAGCACAGATGTGTCCATTACTGCCTATGATATCCCACTATTCCTCTGTTTGTGTTTCAGTGACGGTTGAACTGAAGGACAAAAATGTCATCTAAAAGTTGTGTATGGTAGTCAGTTTGTGTGTAAATGTAGTTTGTTTTTTCCAATTTTTTCAACTTTTCCCTTAGTTTCTAGCAAGAAATTAGTACAGTAATGAAATTTTCGCTTGGTTACCATCAAAGCTCTCTTTAATGTGTTGTAGTTATGCTGGAAGAGGAAGTGTGTCCAAAATCGGGAGGTACCTTAGAAAGCAAATGCTTCCAGATAAGTCAATGGCTAAAAGGACAACAAGGCAGCTGCCTAAGCTTTTGGATACAGCCTATGTGTTTAAGATAAACATATTTAAAGTAATAGCTCATCCGATAATTAATATTCCATCATATATTCTAATGTTGTTCCAAACTCACTTTTTTAGCCTGTTTGGCACACAAAACTATTCATGGCTTTAGAGAACAATAAACCTCTCAAGCCATATGGAATTTTTATGTAGATTTATTGTCTTTCTGTCTGTCCTACTTCTTTTATATTTATTAGGCATAACGAATTGTATGCAAACCCTTCATAAATATGTCTGCAATCAGTTCAACTGGCCAATTAACGCATGAACTGATATGGAACAGAAATTGTTTGTTTTTATGAAAAAGACAAGCGTAAACATATATGCACTGTCTAGAATTGTATGTGTTCTGTTTTTGTTCAATTCTGGCTGAACTATTCCATTAAGCTTTTATGAGTGAACATCTTCATTAGAGGTACTTAGTTTAGGATATTTTTAAAGCTGCTGAAGACCTCAGCCTCGATAAGTTTCTGCCAAGACATTTTGTTTTAACAAGTCACCACAAAGACAAATCTTCACCTCAAGACTTGCATGATGTGGCCAAACCGCACAGTGTGTTCTCAGACAGTAAGAGCTGTCCATCCAACAGCGATTCAAGCATGTATAACCCAGACCCACATTTGATAACACACACGGCAGGATTGACTCCATCAGTCAGACTTAAAAACAATAAAAATAAAAAAACAATAGGAAGACAACAGTCAGGACATCAGACTTAATCCACTGCTTGGGCCATGCCTGTTCTGAGAGCGCAGACAAGCTGTTTTTGAACATTCCAGGAGAGTTGCTTTTAGTGCAACCACAACGGTCCGCAGGGTGTATTATGAGGTTTTGAAGGAATGTTTGTGAGAGCTTAGAAAGCATTCACAGCTTTGCACCGTCTCTCCTAAAATGGTAGCCTTTTTTCTGAAACAACATACTTCCAGCAAAGCACTGAAGCCTTTCCTGGTTAGACCATAAATCTTGTTTCTGAGAGAATTGTGAGCAGATTTGCAGTCTGTAAAGTTATTTCCGACTTTAGCTCAGTCCAGCCACCTCTATGTTTAGTGTGTGTCATTAAATCACACATTTATTTCACATACAGTCCCAGTACGTTAGGTCTGAACTTGAAGACGTGAATTAAAGGGATAGTTCTCCAAGGCTCAAGGATTTTCTTTTTATGTGGAACAAGAAGTGTTTTTTATGTTCATACAATGTAGGTCAGTGGGGTCCCCATGTTGTTTCGGACCCCATTAACTTCAAAACAT